ACATCACTCTCCACCTCTCTACTCCGCATGCACGCTCCCAACCGCCACCGTGCCCGCTCTCCCCGCTCCCAACCAAGCCATCACCATCCCTCACCCGCCTCGACACAGTCCTCAACAATCCCTCCATCCTCCATCCTTAGCCTGTCCACTTGTAGCCCTCGCACCAGCATGGACGACGCTTAAATCCCTCGCTTCGTCCGCTGTCCTCACCACCTCCTTCACGCCTCGCTATCGCTCATTTCCCACGATAATCGCGACCCTCCCCTCTCTCACTTACACTCCATTCTCAACGCCGCGACGCATCGAGATCCATCTCCCTCCAACTTCCTCCACCCTCCACTCCCCTCCTTCCCTCTTTCCACTCCACGCCACACTCCCCCTTCCCATCATCCCTCCTCAGCCCGCCCATCCCTGCTCCTTCGAGGAGCAACCCGAGACAGCCATATAAGGAACGCCCAGACGAGAAGCTGTCTCGCCGAGTGAAAGTCAAAGCGAGCGAGGGAGCGAGAGGAGGTCAAGGCTGTGTTAATTGGGCGGCCAGCGAGACGCGGCAGAGGCGGGTGAGGTGGCGAGGAAGAAGAAGGGAGGGAGGAAGAGGGAGGAGAGGAGAGAGGGAGGGAAGGAGGGAGAGAGAGTGAAGAGGGAGAGGGAGAGAGGGAGGTGGGTGGGAAAAGGAGTGGGAGAGAGATGTGGTGACGGATGAGGTGGCGACGAAGAAGAGGGAGGAAGGAGGGAGGGAGGGAGGGAGGGAGGAGAGGAAGAGGGAGGAAGGGAGGGTGGGAGAGAAGGAAGGAGGGAGGGTGGGGTGGGAAGGAGGGAGTGGAGGGTGGGAGGGAGGGAAAAGGAGTGGGAGAGAGATGTGGTGACGGATGAGGTGGCGAGGAAGAAGAGGGAGAGGAATGAGGGAGGGAGGGAGGGTGGGAGAGGAAGGGAGGAGGGAGAGAGAAGGGAATGGGAAGTGGGAGATAGAGGTGCATGGGTGACAAGGAAGAATATGGTGAGGAAGAGGGAGGGAGAAAAGGAAGGAGGGAGGGAGAAAAGGAAGGAGGGAGGAGAGGGGAGAGAGAGAGAAGGGAGGGAGGGGAGAGAGAGAAAAGGGAGGGAGAGAGGGAAAGAGAGTGGGAGAGAGAGGTGGTGACGGATGAGGTGACAAGGAAGATGAAGAGGGAAAGAAAATAGAGAGAGGATGGAGAGAGGGAAAGGGAGTGGGAGAGAGAGGCGGTTGTGGATGAGGTAACAAGGAAGAAGAATGAAGATGAAGAGGAGAGAGAGAGAGAGAGAATGAAGGAGAGAGGGGGGAGGAAGGAGAAAGAGAGGAGGGAGGAGGGAAAGGGAGTGGGAGAGAGGGAGGGAGGAAGAAGAGGGAGAGGAGGAAGGGAGAGTGAGAGTGGGGGCAACAGATGTAGGGATGAGGGGAGGGAAGGGAAGAGAGGGAGAGGGGAGGAGAGACAGAGAGGGTAAGGGTGAGGTGACAAGAAATGAGGAAGGGAAGAGAGAGAGAGAAGTAGAAGGGGATGAAAGAGAGAGGGAGAGAACAGTGATGAGGTGAGAGAGAGAAAGAGAGAGAGAGAGAGAGAGAGCGAGAGAGAGAGAGAGAGAGAGAGAGAGAGAGAGAGAGAGAGAGAGAGAGAGAGAGAGAGAGAGTAGAAATGAAAATAAGTGAGAACAGATATTTCTTGTCTGATATCTTCTTCCGCCTCGGAACTCGGGTCACGTGACTCTCCCAGTTGCTCTGTAGGCCTATGTCGTCGAACTTGACTCCTTTACCGGTACAAACACACACACACACAGACACAAACACACATAGACACAGACATATGTAAACACAAACACATACCCACACAGACATATTAACACAAAACACAGACACACACCACACTCTCTCTCTCTCTCTCTCTCACACACACACATAAACATAAACACACACACAAAGACAAACATAAACACAAACACACACACACACACATAACACAAAACACACACACCTCTCTCTCCTCTCTCTCACACATACACACACACACACGCACACACAACACACACACACACACACACACACACACACACACACACACACACACACACACACACACACACACACACACACACACACACACACACACACACACACACACATACATATATACAATTATATATATAATATATATATACATATATATATTATATATATATATATATATATATATATATATATATATATATATATATATTATATACACACGTCCATTTCTGGCCCCAATGAGCAGGAAGAGCGCCTAGGTTCCGTTTAAGCCGCTTGGCCGTCACAAGAGGTCGGTCGTTGTAATTGGGCTTCATATAACGGCCAAGGGAGGAATTCGTATGGTAATGCTCGTTGGTCTTGTTAGCCGGAGAAAGTAAACAAGCGGGAAGGATTGTGTCGTTTTTTTCATTTGTGTGTTTGTTTGTTTATGTTTGGGATTTCCTTCGATCTTTCGTCCGTGCTCTCTGCCTGTCTGTCTGTCTGTCTGTCTGTCTGTCTGTCTCTCTCTCTCTTTCTTCTTTCTCTTTCTTCTGTCTTTCTCTTTCTCTTTCTCTTTCTCGTCCTCTTTCTCTTTCTCTCTCTCTCTCGCTCTCTCTCTCTCTGTCTGTCTCTGCTCTCTCTCTCTCTCTCTCTCTCTCTCTCTCTCTCTCTCTCTCTCTCTCTCTCTCTCTCTCTCTATATACATATATAGTATATATATATATATATATATATATATATATATATATATATATATATATATATATATATATATATATATATATATATATATATATATATATATATAATGTATATATTTCTATCTATCTCTATCTATGTATGTATCTCTCTATCTATTTATATCTATCTATCTATCGTGCATTCTATACTTTCCTTCCTTCTCTCCTTACTTCCTCTCTATCGTCTCTTTCTCTTCTTCTTCCTTCTTTTCTTACATTCCTTTTCTCTCAATTCTCTCTCCTTCTTCCTTCATTCCCTCCCATTTCTCCTCTTCCATCTCATTTATTCCTTTCTCTCTCTCCCTCCCTCCCTCCTTCCCTCTTTTCTTCATTCCCTTTTTCTCTTATTCCTCTCTTCCCCTTCCTCATTTCCTCCTTCACTCTCTCTTTCCTTCCTCTCCCCTTCCTCTCTCTCTCCCATTATCCTCTTCCTTCTCTTCTCCCTTATCCATTTCTTCTTTCTCTTCCTTCACTCTCCTCTTCCTTTCCCTTCCATCTCCTCGCCTCCCCTTCCCACTTTCCCCTCCACCCTTCCCCTTACTCCTCCCTCCCTCCTCCTCCCCACCCTCCCTCCCTATTCCTTTCTTCCCTCCTCCCTCCTTCTCCCCCTTCCCCCTTACTCTTCTCTTCCCTCCTCCATCCTTCCCTCCCTTACTCCATTCTTCTTCCTTCTCCTCCCTCCCTCCCTTATTCTTCTCCTCCTCCCTCCCCTCCTCCTCCACCCTTCCCTCCCTTACTCTTCTTTCCCTCCCTCCTCCTTCCCTCCCTCCACTCCTTTCTCCTCCCTCCCTCCCTACTTCCCTCCTCCCTTCCTCCCTCCACCCTTCCCTTCTTACTCCTTTCTTCCCTCCCTCCCTCCTTCCCTTCCACTCCTCCTCTCCTTCTCCTCCCTCTCCCTCTTTCTTCTCTTCCCTCCCTCCCTCCTCCCTCCACCCTACCTTCCTCCCTCCCTTTACTCCTCTTCCTCCCTCCTCCTTCCTCCACCCTTCCCTTCTTCTCTCCTTCTCCACTTTTCCCTCCCTTCCCTCCTCCCTTCCTTACTCCTTTCTTCCCTCCCTCCCTCCTTCCTTCTCCTCCCTTCAATGTCAACAACAGAATCACAACAATTTCCTTCCTGCTTGCGCGTGGGATACGACACATGATATTCCCGGAAAAAGGTGTTAGGTTAATATGACTTTTATTTCCGTTAATACGACTTCTGTTTCCGTATTTCCGTTGTTTTGTTTTGTTTTTTGTTTTTGGTTTGTTTTTTGGCGTCGTTGTTTCTGTTGTTGTTTTCGCTTTTTGTTCCGTATTTCCTTTTTTTTTTTTTTGTTGTTTCTGTTGTTTCGCTATTTTTTTCCGTATTCCCGTTGTTTTGTTTGTTGTTTTTTTTGTTTTTCTCGTTTTTTGGCGTCGGTGTGTCTGTTGTTGTTTTCGCTCTTTTTGTTTTGTTTATCGGTTTGGAGGGAGGGGGAGAGGGAGGGAGAGAGGGTAGAAATAGAGAGGGAAAAGAGAGAGATGAAGAGAGTTAGAGGGAAGAGAGGAGAAAAGGAAATAAGATAGATAGGAGAGAGAGAGGGAGAGAGAGGAGAGAGAGAGAGAGAGAGAGAGAGAGAGAGAGAGAGAGAGAGAGAGAAGAAGAAGAAAGACAGAGAGACGAGGGAAGAGAGACAGGAAATAAAGTCGACGAAAGTTCATTACGTCAGTGTTACCATAAAGTAATAATCATTTTCGATCCAATCATATAAACATATATATATAACAATAATTTTCGATCCAATTTACTATATTTAGATTTTATCAGATCGATCCAGTATTTTTATTCAGAGATTCATTTTCATTCTATTTTTTTTTTTTTTTTTTTTTTACAAAGCGTACACACCGAGAGAAAACTTGTTTGTCAAGTCATCGCGACCAGAAACTTCGTCAAATTGGTATTTTGTGTATTGCTGACGAGTTTTTTGCTTTTATTTATTAAAGAGGAAATAGACAATGATATCCCTATTCTTCCTTTCTTCCCTTCCTGCTTTTCCTTTCTTCCATCTCTCTTTCGTTCTCCTCTTCCTTCCCATCACCTCCTCCCCTCCCCCCTCCCTCCCACTTTTCCCCTCTTCCTTCTCTTCTTCCCTTATTCCCCTCTTCCTTCTCTTCCTCCCTTATTCCTCTCCTCCTTCTCTTCTTCCCTTTCCTCCTTCTCTTCCTCCTTATTCTTCTCCCCCCTTTGGTATTTTATAATCTCGTATGCGGAAGGATTTGTAAAAGACAAAAAAAGAAAAAGATTTTGTGCACATCATTTATTCTGGAAAAGTTATCTGTATGACCAAAAGAAAAAAAGGGAAGACAGGTTTTGTACTATCAAATATATATATAAAAGTCATATGACATCTACTTTGCGAATATAAAGTGCATATAAAAATCTTTTTTTGCATTACCAAAAATTTGTCACAAGCTTTGTAAAAACTACTTAAAGCTACCGAAGTCTTGCTGCCAGAACCCAGATCTGGACACTGGCAAATGTAAATAAAAATTAAATTAAGTTAGCTGTATTTACATGACTGCTATACTGTTAGATTCTCATATACAGATCATATAAAATACGTTCACCAGCTCTCCGAACAGCCTTCTGGAATCTATGTGCGTTTGTGTGCGTGTGTGTGTGCGTGTCTACATCACAGTGCCTGGATGGGTAGGTGTGTATGTGTACGGGATCTGTGTTTCTCTCTTCGTGTATTTGTATTCATGTAAGTACATGTGTTCATAAACTCTCGTGTATCTATGTACGGTTATGTCTTCATGTATGTACATGTATGTATTCACGTTCATATGGTTATCTGCATACATAAGTGTTTTCACCGTCCATTCATGTCCGTATGTTTGATCCACATACGCGTATACGTTCACATAAACGCATACACGTACACATGTCTCCAAGCGTTCAAACCCACGTACGCACAGACACCCATGCGTGTATGCGAGTCTTCAAACCCTCACGTCAAACCCACACAGACACGACCACGTCCATGTGCGTCTCCCGCGAGCGCCTATCCCCGACCCACATACGCACATGCATCTCGCGCGCGCACACGCATCTGGTATTCCGGGTATTTAGTCCTCGCAGTTCTCCTCGGGGTAGCAGACGCAGATGTCGAGCTCCGACAGGTAGATCTCGCCCTCGGGACACCTTGGTCGCTTCTCCTTGCCGACTGCGATCACGACGGGGCGCTCCTCCTCCTTCTCGAGGGGCTTGTTGGGCTTGTTGGGCTTGTTTGGCTTGGGCTTGTTGGGCTTGTTAGGCTTGTTGGGCTTGTTGGGCTTGCCAGACTCAGGGGGGGTGACGGGGATGACGGGCAGGCACCTGTTGGGGTCGGGAGAGGGGGCGGTGAGAACGGGAATGCGATTCGAATGGTGGAAATACTATCATTAATATCATCGGTAACATTATCACCAATACTCTCAAAGCTCCATGCGAAGTGCTTGTTTTTTTTATGCTACTAATAACTGTAACGATGATAACTCCAAACAAGGCAAACTATCCGAATAACCACTGAAGCACTACCTTAAACAATCCAAACACCACTCGCGAATCAATTTAAACAATCCAAACAACCACTTGCGCATCAACAATCCGAATAACAACTCACGCATCAATTTCGGGATTGTACACTTCGTTGTCCTTGCATTCGGAGGGACTCGTGTAAATGCCCTGTCCGGGGTTCTCGAGCTCCGTGGGCTGCAGGGGCTTCACGACGACCACCTGGGCGCCGTCGTTCAGGGCAGAGGACTCCAGGTCGTCGATCTCGATGACCTCGATGGCCTCGCCTCCTCTGCGGGTGTTCACGGCTTCGATGATCTCGACGTTACGAGGGCACCTGCGGGGGGGAGAGGGAAGAGAGGGGGGTTAGAGGAGTGGGTTTTTGCAGATGAAGTGTCCTATTTTCTGTTTTATCTGTTCGTTTATTCAGTTATTTGGTTTTTGTTTTGTGTGGCGGGGTGTGGGGAGGTGAGTCAGTTATTTGTTTTTTGTTTGGTTTGTTGTTTGTGTGGCAGGGTGTGGGGAGGTGAGGTTAAGTTTTCTATTTTTGTCTTAACGGTTTTATTCTTATTGGTTCTTGTGTTTTTTGCATGTTTGTTTACTTGCCTGTTGCCATGGATATCTTTTGTCTTCTAACTTGCAATAAAAAGGGCGGTAACATTAAAAAAGTTAATCGAAGGAAAATATATGTAATATATTAATCAGAAAAAGCTAATCATAAACAAGAAGAGAGATCAATATCGCGGAAAACATAAACGGAACAACCTCAACCCGAACACGAAAGAAAAACAAAAAGAAAAACAAAATCGAATCGCACACGCAGCGAATCGAGTCGCTGATCCCTACCCAATGCCGCATCCAAGTCCCTTCCCAAACCACTCAAGCATTCTAGAACAGTCCCCAAGCACATTCTCCCAGTCCTCTTAATTGCAAGAGCTAGGAGCATATAATTATCATCCATTAGCACATCCCTTTGATGCGAGGCGACTTATAATTAAGGAAAAGGCAGGGTGGCGGTCGGGAGCGTCCTAGATCCATCTGGCCAAGGACGGATGAGCAACTGGCCAAGGGAGAGACCGCAAGATGTTTATGAACTCGCTGAGCAGGAAGACCGCAATACAAGTGACACGTGATCAGGATTTGAATCCAATCGGGTTTGCGGCGGAACGCGTGTTCTGTACACAACCCGATCGTCTTTTGTTTTCGGGAGAGGGAAGAAGGTTTGGAATAGGTTTCCGAGCTTGAGATATTCATTCGCTTATACTTTTTCGTCTAGTCGACAGCAAACAACACAAAAAAAAGGAATGAAAACGAGGCAACATCGTGAGGGTTGAGTTAAAAGACAATCATCAAAATATGTCATGGCCTGTTGAGCACATCTAAAGCATGACAATTAGTGCTTGAAAAGAATGAGGGCTAGTTACGAGTGGCGTGGCGTCGATGGCACTGGTAGGAGGGGGGGAGGAAAAGAGAGAAAAAGAAATAAAGAGAGCAGACTGACAGGGTTAGAGAGAGGAGAGAGAGAGAGAGAGGAAGGATATAACATATATAGAGGACAGAAACAGAAAACAGAGAAACAGGCAGACAGACAGACAGAAACAGAGAAAAAAAATCTAACAAAGAAAAAATCATACACCCCACACCTACACCCTCACATAAACGCCAAAGAAAACACCCCGACACCTTAGCAACAGACAAACAACAACAATCACTCGCACTGAGGGAAGGACCCAAGGATAACCTGACTGAATAGGTTGTAAAAATCCTACAACGAATATTTTCAAGTTAGGATACCGGTGTTTTCAAGTTAGGATACCGGTGTGAAGGAAGGAATCTTGTATCCATTATCCCGTGGACGTAAGTGGTTACACACCTTATACAGAATGGGGAATGGAGGAGGTAGGAGGGAGGAAGGTGTGTGGGGGTGGGGGGGGGGTGAGGGGTGGAAGGTGAGGTGAGGGTGGGTGGGAGTGTTGGTGGAAGGTGAGGGGTGGAAGGATGAGGGGGAGTGTTGGTGGAAAGGTGAGGGGTGTGAGGGTGAGGGTGAAGGGGTGGGAGGGGATAGGGTGAAGGGTGGGGGGTGAAGGGTGGGAGTGTTGGTGGAGAGTGTGGGGAGGAGGGGAGAGGGGAGGGAGTGTGGTGGAAGGGTGAGGATAGTGTGGGAGGTTTGTGGGATGTGTGTGGTGTGTGTGTTGTGTGTGTGTGTTGTGTGTGTGTGTGTGTGTGTGTGTGTGTGTGTGTGTGTGTGTGTGTGTGTGCGTTTGAATATTAGTATGTACCAATCTGCTCCTGGATATGAATTCCTCTCCACACACCGTCTATCCTTACACATACGCACACACATTCAACAAAACATACATCAACATACCAATTATATCAAATATATCGGATACCAAAACGTCTATCTCTCTCTCTCTCTCTCTCTCTCTCTCTCTCTGACGTTCAACCTAAGTCAACCAAGTCAAAGTCAATCAACCTAAGTCAACCTAAGTCAACAGTCAACTAAGTCAACCCAAGTCAACCCAAGTCAACCTAAGTCAACCCAAGTCAACCTAAGTCAACCCAAGTCAACCTAAGTCAACCTAAGTCAACCCAAGTCAACCCAAGTCAACCCAAGTCAACCCCAAGTCAACCTCAAAGTCAACCCAATCAACCTAAGTCAACATCATCCAACTTGACTTCAAAAAAAACTTACTTGTACGTGATCTTTGAGGTAGCTTTGTCCACATAGGGTACAGGGAAGGGGCACTCAAGAAAAGTTGTCAGTGGTGACGATCTCCCTGTAAAAAAGACGAAAAAAACGTTAATATACCACGAATACACATAAAAATCAACTGTAAACGTAGTGGAATAAACACAAATACACAAAAACACAAAAGTCTATTCACAAAAAAACAAGAACAAAAATCTATTGTAATCGTAGGAAAATGAACTCAAATACACACAGAAAAACGAAAAAATTCTATAGACGAAAAAAAAAACAAAAATCTATTATAAACGTAGGTAATAAACACACGAAAAAAAAAAAGATATATGAACCTAGAAGCAGGTATCATTTCACCATAGCTAGTTTAGGGTGTAGGAAGGTGAGGGGGGGGGAGTGGATTATCGAGATTAAATTACTCTAAAGTACAGAGGATTTAATGCGATACGTGATAGCGATAAAGAGACTGGTATTACAACTCTTTTGTTTAGGTTTATCGAAATGTCTTTGTAAATAGTCGATTTTACAAGGGCTTCTGGTTTATATATATTTTTCTCAACATATATCGCTAGTTGTAATAAGTTAACTAATAGATAGGGAGAGGGAGAGAGAGAGAGAGAGAGAGAGAGAGAGAGAGAGAGAGAGAGAGAGAGAGAGAGAGAGAGAGAGAGAGAGAGAGAGAGAGAGAGAAATTAATAATATAAATCATATTAAGACAAAAAACTATTGTATAAATGCCAAAACAGATAGACCGCTAAAATAGAAAAAAAAGTTGGTAGACAAACAGACTGCGAGATAAAGACACATTGAAGATACGCATTTAAAGAAACAAATAAATAAACATAACCAAATATAAACTTCAAAACCCCCAATCAACAGCGATTCACTAGGAAAATAAAACTTTTAATGTTGCTAACCGAGAGATTCCGAAGCCACGAACAGAGTATCCGAACACGAGAAATGTTCGGTTTTGGCAAGTGCATGGGATGGGAAGAGGTTAAGATTTTTTTTTCGTTTTTTTTTCTCTCTCTTTTTTAAGGGAAGGAAGAGGAAAGGTTTATAGTCAATTAATTTTTTTAGGCGATTCCTAATGGCTGAGAATTTTGATTAAATGATTAATGACTTTAATGCGAGAGGAAGATAGATTAAAGTAGAAAAATAATCATATTGGTCACGGGTTTTGGTAACATTTCCTTTTTCTATCCCTCTTATTCATTCTCCCTCTCTCTCTTCCTCATTTTCCCTCTCTCCCTCTTCCTCATTCCCCTCTCTCTTTATTATATCTCCAAGCCACGTGGTCCTATGTAGCGGTGACAGCTAAGCGGAGAAGCGTAGCGGAAAGCGCTAAACTTCAAAGTACGAGCTGAAAGTAGCGTCGTCTCGGCCACGTGGTACTCATTTCGGAACACACAAGAGGGGAGTGTCGATCTGTTTTGGCACTCTTTGGCACGCGGTATCTCCTTTGGCACTTATTGGCACTTGAAGCCCTTTGAATTCTCGAAGGATTGGGTGACCTATTTTTTTTCATTATTTTTGTCTTTCCCTTTTTTTAGATCTATTTTTTCTCTTTTTTTTGTTGATCTAAATACATTTGTGAGGAAGGGAGACGCACTTGAAATAGTTTGCTAATTATAGCCTTATTCTTTTTTATTTTTTTTCTGTGTCCATCTCTTTCTCTCTCCCTCCCTCTCTCCCCTTCCTACCCACTCCACATAGTTTACTAATTATAAGCTTATTCTTTCTTTCTATCTTTTTTCTGTATCTATATCTTTCCCTCTCACTAGCTCCCTCTCCCTTCCTCCCTCCTCTCCCCTTCCCCCTCCCACCCTCTCTCTCCCTCCCCTCCCACCCTTACATTTCCCCCTAAATCACGGGTATTTTTCATAAACCACGCATGAATAGACCAGGAAGGTTATCTTGAGTGATTTGTCCGTCGCAGGTAACGGAAAATCGCCATAACTTTCGCAAATTAAAGTCCAGCGGTCTTGCGCCGGTAGTCAAGCAGAATGGGGTCAGGCGACATCTGGCAACCCATGCCCAGAGCAGAAGCGAAAGTGTTTTTTTTCTCGTTGAGTCTTGTTTATTTGTTTGTTTGTTTGTTTTCCCTTGCGGTGTTGTTTGTGGTATTTTAGCCTCTACTGGTCTCGTAATCGATCCTTCCTTTTGAACTCGGATTATCCCTCTTGAGGCTGATTATGTTTGTTTGTTTTTGTTTTTCTATTCTCTTGTCCTTCGTTTCTCTTTCTTTGAATGAGAGGGAGAGAGGAAGGAGAGGAAGGAAGGAGAGGAGAGAGGAGATGAGAGAGAGAGAGAGAGAGAGAGAGAGAGAGAGAGAGAGAGAGAGAGAGAGAGAGAGAGAGAGAAAGAGAGAAGAGAAAAGAGAGAACGAGAAAGAAAGAGAAAGAGAAGAGAAGAGAAAGAAAAAGAGAAAGAGAACAAGAAAGAGAAAAAAAGAGAGAAAGAGAATATAAATATATGCATATACACATGTATGTATTCATCACTAAATACCCGACCGCTTCTTCGACAGATCATAAACACATCTACAAGTAGTTTTTTTTTCTTTTTTTTCAAAGGAAGCCTCAGATTGCGGTGACAAAACAGTTGACAGTTTTTAGTGCCATGGTCAAAAGGGGGGGGAGGGGGGGCGGAGAAGGTGTAAGAAGCGACCCTCCTTATAAAGAACAAGGTCTTTAAGCGACCAAGATTGTTTTTAATTGTTTTTTTTTATAATTAAACTATTATCTTACTATCTATCTTGTATATCTATCATGTGTATTTGTCTGCTTCTCTGTGCATGCATGAGAATGTGCGTTTACATGCGTATACTATACATTACGTATGTGTATGTGTAGTTGTACATGTACGTATGTGTAGTTGTACATGTACGTATGCGCGTATGTTGTAGTTGTACATGTTCGTATGTGCGTATGTGTAGTTGTACATGTACGTATGTGCGTATGTGTAGTTGTACATGTACGTATGTGCGTATGTGTCAACCTGTGGCATATGGTCTGCGAAGAATGCCAAGTGAATGGGGGAAGGGGGGGAAGGGTAGGGGGAGGGGAGGGGGGTTACCTTCTTGGCTTGCAAAGGCTCCGGAATGTTAAGATAAGAAAAGGGGAGAAGAGGAGAGAAGAGGGGAAGAGGGGAGATGGAGAAAGGGGAAAGGAGAAGAGGGGAGGAGAGGAGACGGGAGGAGAAGAGGGGAAGAGGGGAGAAGAGAGGAGATGGGAGAAGAGGGGAGAAAAGGGGAAAGGAGAAGAGGGGAGGAGGGCAGATTGGAGATGAGGTGAGAAGAGAAGAGATGGGAGAAGAGGGGAGGAGAGGGAAAAGGAGAAGAGATAAGAGAATAGGGAAGAAGGGAAAGGAGAACAGGGGAGGAGAGGAGATAGGAGAAATGGGAAGCAGAGAAGGTAGGAAAGGAAAGAGGGTAAAGGTAAGGAAATGAGCGAAGGAACGAGAAAGGTGGAGAAAAAAAGGAAGGAAGGAAGAGGAGGAGGGAGTAGAGTGGAAGGAGAGAAGAAGGGGGGTGGTGGAGAGAGGGACGGAGGAGAGAAAAAGAAAGGACAGGAGAAGCAAGACGTAAGAAGGGATAGAAAGAGAGAAGGAGAGAAGGAGAGAGGGAAAGTAGTGGGCGAATACCGATAAGGAAGGGGGGGCGGAAGGGAGAGAGAAAAGAAAGGATAGGGGAAGCAAGATGGAAGAAGGGATAGAAAGAGAGAAGGAGAGAAGGAGAGAGCGAGGGAGGCGTGAATATCGACATAGGGAGTGAAAAAAAGGGGAGGAGGGAGGGTGTGGAGGGAAAGATACAATAAGGAAGTGGACCATATTGTATTTATGGTGTGTTGACGTCTCCTGCCACTGTCCCCAATTTCTTTTTTATTTTGTGGCTCTGTTCCATACATGTAGTTGTATGATGACGTCACTACCTAATACCGATAGGATTAAATTTATTAGAGTTATGATTGTGTCTTTTTTCCGATCGGATTAAATTTATTGGAGTTATAATTGCGACTTTTATCGAATGGTTTTATGGCAGAGACCTAATTCACACAGTTGTAAGTGAAGTGAAAGTACTTTACTGACACCTAGCGGAGAAATGAACCTTGTCCTGCCTTCAAACGTTCACTTTTAAGACTACTAACTATGGACTGAATGCAGTAAGTCCTTTAGCAGTACTCAGACATGCAGAATCACACGCAAAAAAAAATCATTCATTGCACGTATAGGTTACTGCAATGTGCCACCGTTGCACGTGCGTTGGTAGCCAGCAGCAGCAACATCGTGGCCTTCCTCGCCCGTTGCAACGTATCAATACTAGATCAGCATTGATTTCTTTTTTAAATTATGAAACGATTTGACGCGCGTGTGAAATTCGATAGGACGATCCGCGTCTCGGACACCGCGACCTAGTTTTTTTTTTGCTTTTCGGATCTATTTCAAATGCGTCGGCGAGATGGGTGGTTCTGCGCATGCGCGGTGGCTGCAATATTTCGGTTATGTTGCATAGCTTTTAGGTTGGAGGTTTTGGAGGAAGAAGGAAAAGAAGAAAAATGTGTATGTGTTTGAGGGCGTGTGTGGTGTGTGTGTGTGTTTGTTGTGTGTGTGTGTGTGTGTGTGTGTTTGTTGTGTGTGTGTGTGTGAGAGAGAGAGAGAGAGAGAGAGAGAGAGAGAGAGAGAGAGAGAGAGAGAAGAGAGAGAGAGAGAGAGAGAGAGAGAGAGAGAGAGAGAGAAGAAAAAGAAACAGAAAAAGAAGAAAGATGGGCGACCAGCAAGGAGACCCAGGTTAATATCCATAATTGTTATATAATCATTAGGGTTACTCCGTTACCTGTCTCCTCTGACAAGTCATTATATCATTATGTCATCTGCTATACGCCGGCGACTTATAAATGACTATATATAATTGTACGTTGAACCGCACCAATAAACTTCAAAGGTTAAACATTTCAACGTAAAATATGCCGGCCGATAACCGTACGACACAGACAATGTCAAAGTAATATTTTTCAGCCTTTTTTTTCATTTTCTTTTAACTTCAAAGGTCATTAACATCATTTATCATTGAAGGTC